TAACTCTTTTAGGATCATGTCTCATTTTTCTCTTTACTCTGGGCCCTTGTGAGTCAAATCATCAGTGTCATTATCAAGGTCATTATGAGTGTCATTATCAGTGTCAATATCAAATTCATTATGAGTGTTAATGGCAGTATCTTCCTGTGCCTTAAGATTCTTCCTACCTCATCCCGATCACATCTTGTTTCAGATTGTCAGCATGGCCAAGGGGGGACCGGTTGACAGCCAATCAGCTGTCGCCACGTGTCCTGGCATTGGCAGCGCCTCATTGGTGGCTTTTGGCTCGCGCGCTCATCTTGAAAAAAAAGCGCTCGTCAATGTGAGTGGACACCGAGTGGGCCCCAAATAGACCTTGTGCTTGCAATGTGAGTGGACACCGAGTGGGCCCCAAATAGACCTAAATGCTAATTAGATGGTTCCTAAGCGGACATTACGTGCTCACCTTGAGACGAAAGCGCTCGTCACTGAGTTGTTGCTGCTAGGTGGTTACAAACTGTCCACCGTTCGTGGTTTCAATACTTCAATTCTATCAGACAAAACCTCTTGAGAGGAAAGGGCCAATCGATGTGAGTGGAGGTGGTTGGAGATTGTGCGTGGCTTGTATTTACAATGTGCCGTCGCTTCGTCTGAGTACTAAGTTCCAACCCTCTCTCTTTTCCAGCGCAAGCGGTGCAGCACGGTGATCGTGAGTGTGGTTGCTTCTCCGCAGTGCTCCTTCTCCTTCGTACCTCTCATCACGATTGTTTGTCGTGTTGTACTCTCCGTTCCCCATTCCCACTCCAGCGCAAGTGGTATCGCATTGATCATGTACGGCTTCTCCTTATCGCCTCCCGCTGCTCGCAGAGGTGACTTTTGAGTCGACTCAAAAGTCACCTCTTCTCCTTATCGCCCACCGCTGCTCGCACCCATCGTCATCGTTGCTTTGCTTTCCCCCCTCTCCCTTTCCCACTGCAGCGCAAATGGTACCGCAACGTGCTCATGTACAGCTCCCACTTTGCAGTGCTCTCTCTCCCTTGTACTCACCACCATCACTGCCATGTGTTTCTCTTTCCCCCCTGCCATGTTCCCTTCCCCTTCTCTCCTCCAGCGCAAGTGGTATCGCAACGTGCTCATGTATGGCTTCTACTTTGCAGTGCTGCTTGCTACAGGGGGGACGGGAGTGAGAGACACACAGGTAAGGGGGCACACATATGAGATGAGAGGATACCTTTTGAGACGTTTCAGAAGCAGCAAACATGAGACTAAAAAAAATGCATGGGTTTGCTTCTTCTCTTTCTTGTGCCAACTCTCATCGCACTTCTCCGTGTTTCTATTTCTACTGTTTCCTTGATTTCACCTCCCTCAATTGCAGTGTGGATTCAAAATGTTCACCCGCTCAGCTGCCCGAAAACTCTTCCGCAACCAGAGGCTCAACAGGTAAGCTGGCTACTTGGCTACCAACCTAGCTACACATTATCGCCACGTGATAATGAAGCTGTTTTGAGACGTCTCAAAACAACTTTACTATCACGAGGCTCAACAGGTAAGCTGGCTACCAACGTGGCTACACGTCGTTGCTCGATTTGAAGCAATTTATGTATGCTCCTCACTTGTTCTCACATATGTCTCAAGTCACCAATTGCTCATTTGTTGGTGCTTTCTGTACCCTCTCTTGCCAATGTCTTCTAGAGGGATTTTTTATTTGGAGTTGCTGTACCTGTGCAAGAAGCTGCACATCGCTTTTTACATCTTACTATAAAAACTTGCTCCCTTTTCCTGACCAACCCCTCCAGATGGACATTCGATGTGGAATTGCTGTACCTGTGCAAGAAGCTGCACATCAGAGTGGCAGAGGTTGCAGTTGCCTGGACGGAGATCCCAGGGTCCAAGCTCCGGCCTACCAGCATACTCCATATGCTCTTTGAGCTTGCCCTCATTCGCATTGGTTACGGCCTGCGCATTTGGAAGCTCAAACAGGACCTCATTAACAATTAGTATGTGATGTGAAGACCCTGGTGACAACATTGTACTACAAGGTGGCTTAAACGATTGTACGGTATTTGATCGAGTTCCTTCACGTGCCTGCCAGCAATTACGGAAGATAGCGTGGGTGGGCCTTGTCAAGGTGTGCAATCACAAAATGCCCTTCACCTTTCATGTGCGGTTCTGTCACCTGTACACCGTGTTGATCTATAATAGTGAGAAGAGGGGGAGGGCATGCAGGAAAACTTGATAAATGTTCAGCCTATTAAAACCGGAGTCTCAAGTTCCCCTAGATTGCCTCGTCCTTCCTACCCTTGGTTGGGTCACCAGGTCCAACCAACCTTACCTTTGAAACCTGACTTGGTTGGTAGCCTACAGAGGAGACAGTCAGAAATTTAGCTCCCAATTAACTGGTATGTTGTGTAGTACATACATGATGAGACACATGAAAGGGCTTATTACAATAGTTTCAGCCCTTGTTGTGCTGCTTTTCCAGGGCTGTGTCTTACGAAACAATTGTAGTACAGATATTTACAAGGAACAGAAGTGATAATGTACATACAGGGGGTTACCACGCCCCACATTCCCCTAACTATATGCATCAGCATGGCGTTGTCACGTAACACTTGCACGTAGGATTCCACACATAGTGGACGCATGTGCTTGCAAAGGATGCCGTATCCGTGCTGCTGCTTGTCGTTGTATCTTGTAGCAGACGCCTGTGAGCTACTTTTCCCCAAGAAACAGGAGAGCCTCCCCTAGTGGTGGTGGCTGTTGCTGAGCCATCCATAGCATACGACGCATAGAAAATGCTTCCAATGATTTCCGAAGGAGTGTTGCTGGGTTTTCCCAGGAGACGGTAAATCAGGTATGCTGTTGCCCATTTGGGTGTGATTGAGACGGATTCAGGAACCCGAGTGACCAGGATGGCGCCATAGACTCGAGTAGATGCTTTCTGCTTGAAGTTCTTATACAGGTATGAGGTGACAACACCGTCAATGAATGCAGGAAGAGTTGCTTGGAATCCAGGGCCCTGCATAGACGTTCCAGCACAATGTCAGACGAGAACGTTATGGAACAAGGATGATGATTGCGTGACTTGCATAATCTGGAAGAAAAAGGTCATTTTGCGGCTTACCGTAAATGTGACGTTGGAGCTGTGTTTTGAGACACTAAGTGTAGTTGGTGCACCCTCCACAGTCAAATCACGTGGATAATCATTTGATGTGCACAGGTGCACATCTTGGCTCGCGATCTGAGTCTGTGAGACGAGAGAGACGACGTATGACGAATCCTGGATGGATGCTGGGAGCTCAGCCATAGATGCTGACGTAAAACCGCCATCCGTAGAGTTTTGGATGTACACATCAACCAGAGAGTCAGGTAGGCAAGATCGTTGACCTGGAAAACGACGACAGCAAGTTGGTATTATGAGAATGTGCGTCAAGAACCACTCGTTGTCAGATGATAGACTTGGGCTAGCTTGACAGGACAGCAACCATTTCACCACCCAATCAGGAAACATGAGAATGCTTACTGGCTAGCGGCGAACTTCCAATGTATAGAAAATCCGCATCTGTGGCCAGTGTTCCTGTAAAAGACAAGAGATTTGCGGCCTCCGCTGAGGATTCGAGCAGCGGGACGCCATATGCAGCTGTTCTGTTCTTCCCCAGACACAGAGCGTCCACAGGGGCTTGGTATCTCTGTATTGGTGGAAATTTACACAAGGGGGATAGGTACGACTGAGAAATAGTGACTAGAAAGAAGCCATTTCGATAGGAGCAATCAAGAGTCCTTCTACTGACGGCTAAAGAAGGCGGAAAGTTACTGAGCTCGTACCGTCAGCACCACATCAAGCTCTCCAGAAGCCAAGGTGAATAACGATATGGCTACGTGAGCTGCCAAGATCATCAGAGGAACTTGCGGGGCCATTTGCGTTGGATGAGCAATCGGAGTCGCAAAATTATGGATGGAAGGTATGAATTGCTACCGCAACTGCTGACACTTATATATGTGGGCATGTAATACGGCCTTAGACAGCTAAGGAGCTTATGACCGCATCGCAGAATGCACGACATCTGAGTGGACGACAATGCCAGACTGTCAACCCCTGGCAACGCCATTTTGCGGTTAGCTGTTTGCCTGAACCCGTTTATCCGTTTACAGTCCGTCCCGCAGGTTGCGGGGAAACCATGATTGAAACATGGCACCAAGCCCTCCACATCAAAGCAACCACGTCAGTCAGTTTACTAAGACAATCTCCATTGTCGGTAATCTGACCGTTTTACATGGCGATTCTCAACGAGATTCTACCGACAACATGCACATGCACTGCTTCTGACCCAACATGTCCATCACCAGACGCCGACCAGAGACCCCTCGTCCAGCACCGCTGCCGTCGCTAGCAATCGCCTACCGTTCGCTAGCTTCGTCAAACGCATAACTAGGGACCAGTTACAGAAACACAAGGATTTCGCCTTCTGGAGACGACCGGGATTGCCGAATGGCTGCATTCCTCCTGCGTACGTGACTGACTCGCTCAGCCACAAGTACCGTCCAGCAGCATCGAGCAGCATATGTCTTTCCCCGCGACTTATCTGGACCGTCGGACAATTTCTGCCACGATGAGCGCCTCGAAATAGGTGTTGATATCCCAAGGTAGTTACGGTTTCCGCAATTCTCGCTGCGGCCCATCCCAACTGAACCCCGCGAGTCAAATTTCGCTTTGATTTCTCCAGGGGGTTGGCCTGTGGGTAAAGGCGCCTAGCGAAACAAAGCATTCTGTTTCGCCGAGGCAGGTTGTTGGTTCGCGACTGCCTGATGCGTAACGGACACATGTGACGGTTGCATTCAGACAACTGAAAAGGAAGGTGCTACAACGAAAATCTAGGTGACGCACATACCCTACATTACCGCATACCACTGTACATGTCGATTTCTGACAGGGAAATTGGCAGGAAGTGGGTTCTTCAGTACGTAATTTGCAAAATGGTAATGAAGCGGTATTATTCCAGTAAATTAGAAGTTTCTGTACATTACTTTTTGTTAACACCCTGCCTACAACTGTGTCTGGAATGGATTAGTATCCATGGATGCCCTGTAGGAGAGAAAAGGCAAACAAAAAAAAATGTGAATGCAAGTCTTATCATAGCTTCAGGGCAACTGCACAGTATGTCTGTCTGCGTGGATGTATAATTGCTGGTAAAAGCTGAGGGAGAGAGGGCATAGCGGCAAGGGTTTCAGGCGAAGCGAGAGGAGGGGGGTGGGGAGAGAGGAGCGAAGGAGGAGAGGGGGGGGAGAAGAAAGGGAGTGGAGGAACAGGGATGGTAGTGAGGAGATGGGAGGAGGGAGGGAAAGTGGGGCCATAGCCATAGCTTACCAAGAACATCCACAGCAGACATCCGCTTTGCCGGATCCTTTTCAAGCATCCCCTTCAGCAACTCCTTCACCCCTGCCCCAACTTTCTTCCACCGGGCAGCTTTAAACTTCACAGGCCTCTCCCGAATCGCCTGGAAAATCTCCTCATTAGTGTCAGCAAAGAAAGGCGGAGCGCCACATAGGAGAGTGTAAAGCACAACTCCGGCGCTCCAAATGTCAGCTTCGGGCCCGTAGCAGCCTGCCAGTACGTCTGGTGCCATGTAGTATGGCGTGCCGACAAACTCCGTGAGAGGTACGTCTGTGGGTGCAAATAGAAGGCGAATTCATGGGAGCACGTGGAAGGGACACACACGCACAGAAGGCAAACACAACAGGTTGAAGAAGCTCGTCCTGGCATGGACCACTTTGACTTATGGGACGACTCAAAAGTCACAACATGCCGACGCCAATAACCTGGGAAACAACAATCCGACCAGGCAGGCACGTGCTATCTTTTGAGGCGCCTAAAAAATTGTCACAAAAAAGCAACCAGGCAGGCACGTACCATCCTGGAACCTTGCAGCGACGCCAAAGTCAATGAGCTTGACATACGTGTCATCATCCCTCTGCATCAGCAAAATGTTCTCCGGCTTCACATCCCGGTGCATGATCTCATCCCTGCATGCACCGTTCTACACCGTCCTGCACGTACCATCTTGGAACCGCGCCGCGACGCCGAAGTCAATCAGCTTGACACACGTGTCGTCATCCCGGTTCATGAGCAAAACGTTCTCCGGCTTCACATCCCGGTGCATGATGCCCTGCGAGTGGCAGTACTGTAACGCTTCCACCACTCGCACCACCACCACCGCCGCCTCTTCCTCTGAAAACCCCACTCTCCCCTCCACACTCCCTCCTCCAAGCAAGCGCTTGTGTGCGCTCTCCTTGCTCTCCTTGCTCTGCTTGCTCCAGCGCTGTTTGATGCGGTCGAAGAGGTCCCCGCCTCTAGCAAGCTCCATGAGGATGTGGATGTGCCGAGGGTCTTCCATTGAGTCATGTATTTCAATGATGCTCGGATGTCCCTTCACCTGCTGCAGCATCGCCACCTCCTTTCGCACGTCTTCCGCGTCTTCTGCTGACTGTGGTTTGAGGAGGGAGAAGAGAGAAACAGGGGAAAGGATGAGGAGACCAAAGAAGCAGGAAGAGCCAAAGAGGCAGTCACCTGCAGCATTGCAACAGGTGACTGCCTTCACCTGCTGCAGCATTGCAACAGGTGACTGCCTTCACCTGCTGCAGCATTGCAACAGGTGACTGCCTTCACCTGCTGCAGCATTGCAACAGGTGACTGCCTTCACCTGCTGCAGCATTGACACCTATGTGCGTCCTTGTGCCCGAGAACGACCCTCCCTCAGCTCGATCTTCTGCTTGCTGATGGTCTTGCAGGCGAGCAGCTCCCCCGTCGCGCGGCTCACACACGACCAGATCACCCCAAACTGCCCCACGCCCAGCTCCTCCTCCCCCACCTTGTACAGCCGAGTCAGATCCCCTCTAGTTACTACATATGATAAGATTACCTGCCTCAGAAATCTCACCTCGATCTTCTGCTTGCTGATAGTCTTGCATGCTAAGAGAGCCCCCATCGCGCGGCTGAGACACAAGCGGATCACCCCAAACTGCCCCACGACCAGCTCCTCCTCCCCCATCTCGTACCACCCAGTCAGTGAGCTCCTTTAGCTACCAGATATCCCTACCTGCCTCAGAACAGAACTCTCACCTCGATTTTCTGCTTGCTGATGGTCTTGCATGCTAAGAGAGCCCCCGTCGCACGGCTGACACACGAGCGGATCACCCCAAACTGCCCCACGCCAAGCTCCTCCTCCCCCACCTCATAGAACCGAGTCAAATCCCTGTATGGCCGCCGCAGCACGTATGCAGTTGGGCCCGCGCCGCCCCCTTCTGCCCAGGAGGAGATGCGGCGATGGGTGCGCGGGCTGGGAGCAGGGCGGAAGGGATTCTGAGAGGGAGCTTGAAGTGCGTTTTGAAGTGCGTTTTGAGGTGCGTTCTGGGGTTCACCCTGAGGTGCCTTGGGGTGAGTGGCAGGGCTTGGGGAGGGGTGGGTAGCAGGGCTTGGGGAAGAGTGGTGGAGTGGGGGAAGCGGGAGGGGGAGGGGCTTGGGGCTGTGTGGAGGGTGTGGAGGAGAACTGGGTTTGGCAGCGGCAGTGCTGCTGCTGCTCCTTCGGCTCCTGGTGCTGGTGGTGGTGCTGGTTGTGCTGCTGATGGTGGTGATGTTGCCACTGCCACTGCGAGTGCTGGCGGTGCTGGTGGTGCTGGCAGGGTTGTGCGATGAACACAAGAGAGCCGCGTCTGCATCTGGGGAATCTCCTGGCACCTGAATATCCACCTGAAGAATCCCCTGCCTTGGCACCTTCCCTTTCTCGGCTGCACTCCCTGCGTTCTCATTCACTGATTGAACCTCCGATTTGCAATCCTCGTACACATCATCTGGTTCCCTCTCCTCCTCCTCCCCTCCGTCACACACAATCACTGTCACTGCTACCCTTTCTGCTGCCTCTCCATCATCAGCCGATTCCTGAGATTTCTCAGAAATCAGCCAGCCTTGATTGTCAACCCTCTCGCCTTCAAACCCGTCCTCCTCCCTCTCCTCCTTCCCATCCTCCTCCATCTCTCCCTCCCTTTCCTTCTCCCTCTCCTCCCAATTACCCTCCTCACTAAAATCTTCATAATCCACATCAACCTTTCTCCTCCTCGGGGTTGTCAGATTGTAAATATTAAAATCCATGCTGCCAGTCCGCCGAACCTCCCCGACCCTCAGGTTCGCGTTCCCGAGCCTCCCCCTCTGGAGGATCGGGCTGCGTGGGCCCACTGGTTCCCCAGTTGCGTCGCAATCCCTCAACCTCTCCAATCGGGCGCCTCGCATTTCTTTCAGTGCTTCCCGTGGGCACTGTCTCTGCTCCTGCCTCTGCCTCTGAGCACCTCTCCTTTCCCCCGTCTCCTCCACATCCCTCCCCTTTTCCTCCTCTCCCCTCCTCCCTTCCCTCCTCTTTTCCTCCTCTCCTGGGGATTTCAGCACCAACTCGCCTGGCCCCACAATTTCCAAAACTGCCCGACGCCTCCTCCCATCTGCCCCAACCACTGTAACCAGCACCGCCATTTTTTCCCGTCCCTTCTCCCCCCAAACCTCCCCCCGCTCACTCCCACCCTCGCCATTTCTTCTTCTTCCTCCTCTTCCTCCTCGTCCTCTCCCTCACTTCGTGTTCGCTCCGACGCGGTTCCGCGGGAATTCACACGAGAAACAGCGTGACTATAACGAGGGTCGATTACCTCCGCTCCAGCGCGCACGAGCCTCCGCACAGCGGCGTCACCAGCCTCTCGAGGCCGGCCCTGGGGCGGGCTGTTCTTATAACGAAGGTCGTGCTGCTGCTGCTGCCGCCACTGCTGCTCCTGCTCCCAGTGCTGTCGCTGCTGTTGCTGCCTATACTGCTCCTGCAGGCTTGGACGCACCGGCAGCCGGTTTGCCAGCTCCCGTTCCTGCAGCGGAGGGTGTTCCCGTAACGCATGTGCTTGTAACGCGCGGTTTACTGTAGACCCGTCGACGAGCTGGTAACCGCACCCGGGGCAGAACCGAAAGTGCGGGCACAGCAGCGCACGATTGTCCAGAACCTTCCCCGCACCTTCCTGCTCGTACCGACCTCCCCCACCACCATAACCCCTGCCATAGCTGCTGCTCCTGCTGCCATCGCGGCTAGTACCGTCGCCCTCGTACCCACGGCGATCAGCACGGTTTTGAACAACGGCGTGACGAGAATCTGCTCTAGAATCACGGGATGCTCCACCCGAGGACCCACCCGACCAGCCAGATCGGCCAGACCGGCCAGACCGGCCAGATCGGCTGCTGGCACTGCTCGGAGCGGGGACCAGAGCGTGACGCAAATGCGACTCTATTTGCGTCTCAATTCGCGACTCAATTTGCGACTCCAGAGGCAACTCAGTCTGAAAGCCATGCAGGGACTGAGACGCCCTGGCGGTGAGCAGAGAAACGGTCTCCATCTCGCCTGGTGAGTCATCGCCCTGACTGGAGACCGTCGATGGTACGTCGCTAAAGGAGCCACGACTAGCAGGAGACTCGCAGGGAGAGGACACGTGCTGAGGAGGCTGTCCTGTCAGGTCGAGAGGCGATAAGGGGCCGCCAGGAGAACTCCACGTGGACTGGTTGTCCATGTTGGACAGTGCCACGCTGGCATAGGTGTAATCAGCGATTGGATCAGCTCCGCGCTCGGGCATTGGCGCCACACTGGCATCAGCGTGACCACCGCCGCTGCCACTGCCGCTGACCCCGCCGCTGCCACTGCCGTCGGCGCTGCTGCTGCCAATGGCGCCCCTGCCATTGCTCACGCTGATGCCGGTTCTAGTGTCAGCACTGGTGCCACTGCCACCGCTGCCATTGGCACTGGTGCCACTGCCGCTGCCATTGCCGCTGCTGCCATTGCCGCTGGTGCCGGTCCCCGCTCTGCACCCCACTTGCACACGTCCTGCCCCCCCCTCGGCGCCACAAACAACCTCGTTACCAGCCGATTCGTTACAAGCCAACCCTTGGGTGAGACGCGCGCCAGCACCAGCGCCAGCACCAGCGCCAGCACGTGCGTGAGCAGCGGACCCACCCCCCGTGCTGATCCCCAGACGTTCCAGGTCCAAACTTGCCGGCCTGTGCCTCTGATACAGCGGCAGCGGCGGCGGCGGCGGCCGCGGCGGAGGTGGCGGGGGAAGTGGCGGGGGAGGCGGGGGAGGGGTTGGCAGCGGTGGCGGTGACGAAGGCGGCGGCAGGGCGCGGCCCTTGCTACAACCGTTTGCTACAGCCGGCCAGCCGGCAGCAGCAGCAGCAGCGCCGGCGCGGCCGGCAAGCCTCCCGCTGCTGGAGAGAGAGGAGGACGGCGGGAGAGAGGAAGAGGGAGGGAGCCCGCTCGCGCCGGGGAGAGAGGAGGACGGCGGGAGCGGGTTAGGCGGCAGCTGGTGGGGCTGGGGACGGCCGCGTTGCATGGTTATAGCGTTGACCACGGATGACATGATTCGGCTCCGAAGGTCCTGCCGGCGACTAGGCTGCTGCTGCTGCTGCTGCTGCTGCTGCTGCGGTGCCATCAGTTCCTGTGCGCTCCCATCCGCAGCTGACGCAGCAGAAACGGCAGGAGCCGAAGAAGCAGCGAAAACAGCATTCATTTCAGCAACTGCAGAAGCAGCAGACACCACAGAAAGCTCAGAAACTTCAGCAGCTGCTGCAGAACCTGCCGTTGACCGCGCCGCGGCATCCACAGCTCCTCCAAACGCTGCTGCTGCCACGCGTCCCATGGATGCTGGCGCCGACTGTTTTTGAGACGCCTCAGAACCAGACGCTGCCACGTGTCCTGGCGATGCTGGCGCCGATGGCGGCCGTGAACAGCTGTTCGATCCTCCCCGCACACCCGCCTCTGGCGCTACAGCCGACCTCTCAAAAACTACCACGTGTCGAGCCGCTGGCGCTTGTTCCGAGGGGCGAGTTTCGTCAGCGGCGGCGGCGGCTGCGGACCTGACAGTGAGATCCCAGCTCCCGAATCGTCGATGTCTCCTCGCCGCCCCCGCCGCCGCCGTTCCCCCTGGCGCCGTCCCCCCTTGCGCCGTCCCCCCTTGCGCCGTCCCCCCTTGCGCCGTCCCCCCTTGCGCCGTCCCCCCTTGCGCCGTCCCTCCTTGCGCCGTCCCTCCTTGCGCCGTTCCTCCTTGAGCCGTCTCCACCTGCGCGGCAGCTCGCCCCGAAGCCATGGCGGCGATCTCCGCGCGCGGTGGCGGAAGCGGCAGGCGGCGCTGATTGGTCGGATCCGCGGAGTCCCAGCTGCGGCGGCGATTGCGGAAGTCGGAAGCAGCGGCAGCGGGGAAAGCGCTATTTAGATTGGCAGTAGGGCCGGGAAAAGAGTTACTCGACCTGGTAGCACCAGGAATGGCGTCAGTCGGGTGAGCTGCTGCAGGGGGGGAAGGGTTACTTAGTTCCGTAGAAACAGCAGCAGCAGCCAGAGTTACGTCAGAAGCCGGAGTTAGGTCAGCAGCAGCGACAGGCGCAGGAGCAGGCAGGTGAGAGGGAGGAGCCATGGCGGGACAAGTGAAGGCGTCGACCGACATTGTTGCATCAGAGCAGATCGCGCGAGCATGACAACTGCGCTTCAAGTGAACATCTTGAAGTGAGCTTGAAAGTGACTCCAAGTAATAGGTGCTCGAATTAGTATGTCAGTCCTAATTGTCGATAGTAGTTAATAGACGGATGGAGTCGCGTTCCAATCGGACAGAGAGCCGTTTCCGGTAGACTGTGAGCCGTCGTGTCATTCGCGTTCGCGATCATCTCAAAGCATAAGCGATACTGAAAGCATTACACGCCTAGCTTTCGGGACTCGCAGTGAAATATCATCTCGCGATCTATCGGTTCAATATCACGAGTTCTACCTCTCACGCCTCCAGAGGTGGCGCGTCGAGTCTGCCTGACGGCGAGCATCGAACAACCACAAGCCGCCTCGTGCTGCTAAGAAGATTTCGAGGATCAGATCTCAATCCATCCGCGCGCTGTACGGCGGATAAGAGCCTTCTCCTGACCACAAAACGAAAGTCTTCCCGGCGCTCCCACGAGCCACCTAGGGTCGTAAACCATTCCCGAGGGGTCTCAAAAGTCGATCCCACGAGGGACCCTCGGTTGTGAATCATAGCTCCGTACTGCACCGAACCGGTCACAGGAAAGCGCGGCTCGGAAATTGCCGAGGACTCGAGGCGTCCTGCTACCAGCGCGAGGTGAACAGACGGAGGGAGAAGCTGGCGGGAGAAGTTGATAAGAGCTGGCGGGCTGGCGGAAAGAGCTAGCGCGAAAGCAAGGAGCGCGAAGAGCTGGCGGGAGGAGCTAATAAGAACTGGCGGCCTGGCGCAAGGAGTTAAGAAGAGCTGACGGCCTGGCGGGAGGAGCTGGCGCGGAAGCACGCGCGCGCGGAGCTGGCGGGCCTGGGGGAGCCATGTTGGAGACAACTAGGTGCTCTCTAGCCCTGCCGGTTGGGTCGAGGAAACTAGTCGTTAAAGACATCACTGGCACTAGGCTGACGCCAGGCTCGCCTAGTTGACGTAATGTGGGTGACAGCCCGCGATCGTGCCGCGCAGTTGGGTAGAAGGAACCGGTCGTTAAAGACATCACAGACACACGACTGGAACCAGGCCCGGCTAGTTGCAACACGTTAGCTGACGCCAGACTCAGGTAGTTGAAACACCCCGACGAGGTCGGCTACTTGGCGCAACGTGGCTGACAGCTGGCGACGATAATCCCTCCCACAGCAGGTTGCAACTGGTGCTGGTGGGACTTCGTAACTTCGGATTGACTGCTCATCTGACCCACGCGGCTCTGACCATGGGGGAGCAATTTTAGCGACAGCGGATTTCAGCGGTTCCTCCAACTCGCCCTGGTGGTTCAACATGGCAGCCATGGCTAGCTTAGTAGCTCAGCTACTAGTTGTGCAGCGCACCTGTTGCTAGTGATGAATGGTAATGGCGAGTGGTGCGAGTGGAGGGGGAGGTAACTAAGGTTGGTTATGGCGGGAGTGAGTTGGGTAATCACGCATACAGTACAGTGGGAGTGTTGCACATGGTGGCGCATTCAGCGTGTTAGAGGGGCAATAGGGGCTATGGTAGTTACCCCCTGCGTCGCATGAGAGAATGAACGTGGAGGCTCGGGAAGAAATGGGGTGTAAGGAAAATCCTTTTCCTTACTGAGCTCAACCACAGCGCGTACGCCCTCGGACTTCGGAAGGCTAGGCTCGGCCTAACTTTTAGGTCCAGAACCACTCTAGCGCAACCAAACCTAAATGCGGGGCTGTTCCGTGGCTTTAGTCACCCGAGTCGCCCCAACCTAGTTGCGAGGTTCTCGGCTAGCGTAATTGTGCCTATAAAGTGCCGTAGCCTTTCATTTGTATTCGGACTCTTGAGTCACGTCCTGTTATTGAATTCCGCGCTACTACTCTGATTCGATACATAACAGCTGGTATCAGAGCTACTTTCCTGCCCGCTTAGTCTTCCGTAGGCGAGTCCGTTTATATCGGGCGAGGACCTGACAGAATAGAAGGTTGGCCTGCGGTCGGTAGGTGAGCTCAATTAAAGCTCCTACGACTAGAAGCGTGTGCACCTTCAGATCTGTTAGGTGAAACAGTTCCAGCATGACGAGTGAGCTAGAATCCTCTGCCCGCCGTAGTGTTAGGAACGTGACACAGGAGGAGTTTGACGAGTTGCAGACGAGGGCGGCCACGGTGACGACGCTACAGTCGCAACTCCAACAACTCATGGCGAAGTTCGAATCGCTCGATGGCGAACTTCAGACGCTGCGCGAGGAAAACTCATCACTTCGCCAGGCGCGTGGAGAGACGCGTCAGAGGCGGCCTGTTACCCGAGACGAGGATGCTGCGAGCGAAGCGAGAACGTCGGCGACACCTGAAGCAACAGAAGAAATCAACAGTGGGCAACGAGCAGTTATTAAAGTTAAACCTGCCACGCCCCCGCCGTTCAATCCGACCGATAAAACCACAACAGTGAGCGGGTGGTTGTTTGCTGTTGAGATCTTCTTTAATGCAGCTAATATTCACGACAATGCAACACGTGTGAATTTTGTTGTATCACTGCTGAGAGGACCGGCACTCGACTGGTGGCGCATGCAACTCGCAGAGGGAGGGGCCTCGGCAGGACATCAACGGGCGGTAGCTGGGGAGCAACAGTCGTCTGAAGCAATGGCGGTCCCAATCTTCAGATCGGCCATGAACCTCACGTGGCGAGCGTGGGGCGAAGCCTTGAAAAAGCGCTTTGAGCACATATCCGCGCGCAAACACGCTCGTGCGAGGCTTCGGGAATGGCGTCAGTTGGGAGCTGTTCAAGAATACACCGCGTCGTTCCTAGCACTCTGCGACCAGATCGACGGCATGAACGAAGACGAGAAGATGGACTGCTACGTGGCGGGATTGAAACCGGAAATACAGCTGGAAGTTGAAGTGCGACGCCCAGCGAATTTTTCGGAGCTCGTCGAGTTGGCAGATGCGCTAGACGCGCGGCGGGCATTCGCGAGGACGAGTTTCCGGGAGGGAAATCGTTTTCGAGGCCAGCACCAACACCCTTCCATCAACGGCGTGGACGCGATGGCAGCCCGGGTGTTTACCGGTCGCTGTTTCAACTGCAACCAGCCGGGCCACATGGTGCGGGACTGCCCGGCGCTTAAGAAGGACTTAGCTAACGACGGGAAGCAGTCGGGAAATGGAAAAAGTCAGTAGTTGATGGGCCACCTGCTGACTTGACTGCGTCGCCCAAACACCACCACCCCCACCAGGTAGTAGTGCCGATTTATGCAGTCGACCACTCCTGGCTGAATAAGGGGGGTGAACCTGTTGATCACCCTGTGCTGGTAGAAGGAAGAGTTGGGGATAATAAAATAAAAATATTTGTTGATGGTGGAGCGAGCCACAGTTTGATGGATGTGACAAAAGCGAAGAAGCTGCGATTACAATTGGAGCGGTGCATGCCGGAGATCGACGCGCGATTGGTCGACGGTACACCATTGGCGATTCGAGAACGGGTGCCACACGTTCGAGTCACATGCGGCGAACGTTTCAGTTTCACGACGAAGATGCTGGCGACGACTCTGGATGGCTGCGACATGCTGCTGGGGCGCGATTGGCTGCGAGAGTACAACCCGAGCATCGATTGGCGAACGGGCGACTGTCGCATCAAGTGGGGAGGCGAGTGGCGACGACTACCCCGGTGGAGTGGACCTGAAGCGACTACATCGACGGTCAGCGCCGTGACGATCAAGCGCGCCATGATTCGGGGCGCACAACTCTACGCCGTCCGATGGATCACATCAACGACCGTCGACGATACCCCCGATATCGAAAAGTTGTGCGCTGGCGTACCCGACGACCTGGCGAAACTCATTCGGAAATACCCAACCATTTTTCCAGATGACCTGCCCGCCGGTCTACCACCTCAACGCCCCCAGGACCACAAGATCCAACTCAAACCCGGCGCGCAGCCAACCGTGCGGACACAGTGGCGGCTGACGCAACCTGAGCTGGAGGAACTACGTCGACAACTTGACTACGTGTTGGAGAAAGGCTTCGTCCGGCCCAGCACGTCTCCGTTCGCCGCCCCAATCCTGTTCACACCGAAGAAGGATGGGGGCCTTCGCATGTGCATCGACTACAGGGCGCTGAATCGAGTTACAATTAAATCCCGATACCCGATACCACGCGCCGACGAACTCATCGACCAGCTTCGCGGAGCAAAATTCTTCTCGAAAATAGACTTGCGAGGGGGTTACCACCAGATTCGCGTCGACGAGGCAGATTGCTACAAGACCGCGTTTCGTACCTGGTACGGGAGTTACGAGTACACAGTCATGCCATTCGGTCTGACAAACGCGCCCTCAACCTTCCAGCTGACCATGCACGAGATTTTTCGGTCGCTGTTGGACAAGTGCGTCATAGTGTACTTAGACGATATCCTCGTCTATTCCACCACCCGGGAGCAGCACTTAAAGGACCTCGACCAAGACTTTACGCTACTGCAGCAAAATCGCCTCATCACCAAGGGATCTAAGTGCGAGTTTTTAAAACCCGAACTGGAGTTCCTCGGCCACATCATCTCCGTCGAAGGCGTTAAAATCGACCCCAAGAAGATCAGCACCATTCAAGAATGGAAGCCGCCGTCTAATTTGCGGGAACTCCAAAGTTTTTTGGGGTTCGTGAATTACGTCCGCCGGT